ATATTTCTACATGCCAAATAATTTACTAGCAGGTGTAGTAGAGTAATAGAAATCCAACAGACCCAACAGTCATGACATGCATGCTGCAGATTCTGCAAAAGACATGTGCTGAAGAGGTTACAATTTGCCAAAGAGTATACAGTACTGACTGGCCTAAAGAGAAATGGCGCAACATTTTGTAGACTGATGAAATTAAGATTGTTCTTTTTGGGTCTAGTGGCCAAAGACAGTTTGTCAGATGACCCCCAAACACTGAATTCAAGTCACAGTACACTGTGAAGACAGTGAAGCATGGTTGCGCAAGCATCATGATATGGGGATGTTTCTCATACTACGGTGTTGGGCCTATTTATCGCATACCAGGGATCATGGATCAGTTTGAATACATCAGAATACTTGAATACCAACAAGATTGACGTTATGGAGTGGCCAGCCCAATCCCCGGATCTTAATCCAATAGAAAACGTGTGGGGCGACATAAAAAAATGCAGTTTCTGAGGCAAAACCAAGAAATAGAGAAGAACTGTGGAATGTAGTCCAATCATCCTGGGCTGCAATACTTGTTCACAGGTGCCAGCAGTTGGTTGACTCCATGCAACACAGATGTACAGCAGTTCTCAGAAACAGTGCTTATACAACTAAATATTAATTAAGTGATTTAAAGGAAAGCAAAATCTTCAAACATTTTTCAGTTTATATAGTGAATGTTTGAGTTTGTAAAGAAGAATACAAACACTGCTATTTTTTTGAACAGTCTAATATTCACTTTTCTTCAATTTTTTTTAGAGGAACAACACAAATTTGATATATTTTTCTTCATGTTTTGATTTGGAATAGAATGTGTAGTGTTCCCAATGCAGTTCCGGGCGTTGGGCAAGTTTTTTTTTCTTTTCTAAATTTAGCATTTCTGTGGGCATGCAACGAGCCGGCTCTACTCAGCATCCTGAGGATGCTCCAGTGTGGTTCTACACTTTGGCTGCTTGTCTGGGTTCAGTCTTCCCAATGCAGCCCAACACGGTTGTGTGGACCATGTGGTCGGGCTGGCCGGTAATTGAAGCCACGGCTTTGAGGACTGCTGGAGTGGGATACAGAGTCCACCATCTTGTTTGTGGGCATTGCCCTTACATGCCATCGAATATGCCCATGAGGCTGTGCACAATTGCTTAGTGAAAACAGCACACAGTTAACACATTAACACTTGTTAGGCACACTGTTAACCCTTTGATTGCCCCTAAATGTTAACCCAACCCAGCCAGTGTCATTAGTACAGTGTCTATTAGCACTGATCATTATATTAGTGTTAGTTCCCACCAATTGCCAGTTAGTGTCAGCCTTTTTTTTTTTTTTTTTAGCATCAGTTCAGGCAGATTGCCATGAGGGACAAGTAGATTGGGACCCCGATTTAGTCTATTGGACAAGTCGTTTTTTAAAAAATTTCCACACCCCTGAAAGGTGACTCCAATAACTATTATAAATGGTTCACTCTAAGGTCCCGTAAGAGGACACAGGGTTACAATTTGATGTTAATAGAAAAGTGGTTTAACCTTAGATAATATACAGGGATATCATAATTGTTAGAGAAATATCACACATAGGTTGAGCTGGATGGACCTGTGTCTTTTTCAACGTTATAAACTAGGTAACTAAGTGTGTCAGTTAAATGTCAGCTGTTGTCTTCTAGGGTAGAAAATATAAGGGAAAAAAAAATCAAACTGCTTAGAGTGTGGGTCGGCAACCCATCAATTTTGGGCAGGTGATGGGTAGATTGTGTCCCCAAACAGGGATGATAAAAAAAAAATATATAAAAAATAATTTTAAAAAACATTGTAAAAAATAATTAAAAATAAACTGAATAAATAAACAACACCATTCACTGCCGTACTGACTCCAACCTCTGCCCTACTGACACCATCCACTGCCCTGCTGACACTGTCCACTTTTAAGGTAGACTAAACTTATATTTTTTTAATAACATGTGTTGTGCTATATATTGTTTTACATTTTTCTTAGTGCTTAGCTAGGCTTTGCTAGTTATTTTCTTTAACCCTTTCACTGCCAGGTCTGTACATTGTACAGACATGACAGAGGGGGTTTCTACACACAATCCAGCTGCGGTCACCAGGATTGTGTCTAAAGCTGGCAGACAGACTCCTGTCTGCCAGGTGGAAGCAGTCTGGCAGCTGCACTGCTACCCGATTGCTTCCACAGCCACTGGTAAAGGTGCCCCCCCCATGGGTGCTCCCGTTATGTATTCTGAGCTCCGCTTGCCCATTTGCAGGCCTGGGGAGTGACATGGTGGGTGCTGGCGGGTGGAGGGGAGAGTGTATGACTTCACTTCTGTATCACCACTGTCACTTTCCCTTGACAGAATGTACTGCAATGAGATCTGCAGTGCAATACATCCAGTGGAGCCCAGAGGAGACATGCAAGGTCTTTTAGACCCAGCATGTCTAATTAAAGAGAACTTGTCACCTAAAAATCACATAGGAAACTTTGTGTCCCCTATATGATGAAAAAAAAAGTTAAGTAAAACCCCACCCCCACATATACGCATGTACAAACATAAGCGCACGTGTCGGGGGCGCCTACGCGTGAAAATTACGATTTTGGAACACGTTACATATCATCAATCACACTGGAGCGCAAAAATTCTAGCACAAGACATCTGCCGTAAAGCTAAATGCATTACCTGTAGGGGCCTATGAAGCATTGCATATATAAAATGTAGGGTATTGGAGTTTGTCACCATTCTACAGGCGCACACAAATTTAGTTTGACGTGTTGGCTATTTACTCTACGCAATTTAATATTTTACAAAATGTGGGTGATTTATTAAGTTTGTTTGCCCAAAAATTCACTTTAATGTGTTTTTTACTGAAAGTTTGTGTTTCCTAGACCTTTGCGGTAATATTGTGTGACAAACAATTGGAATTACCACTATTTTATTCTCTAAGGTGTCTGCTTTCAGAAAATATACGTTTATGGGGTTTGTGTAATCTTCAGGACTAAAATGAATTTTTAAACGTGTGCAAAATAAAATGCAAAAATGGCTCTGGCAGCGAAAGGGCTAAAGAAAAAAAAAAAAAAAAAAAAGTGCGCTGAGTCCCGGTGATTTTGATCTCTTTTCATGTTGTTCAGGTAGATCTCCACCTCTCAAAGGTTATCTATTCCTTGTTTAGAGCAAGATATTTCCCATTCCAGACATATTGATATGGACTGTTATGTCTCTTGCAAAGTATAGTCACACGTGGGCCAGCTGTGCAACTTGACAAACAGACTAATTTGTCATTCGTTTTGACCATATAAATTGCAATTCCAGGCATTATTAACATTTACCCTCAAATCACTCTATTCTCCTCTAGATCATATTCCAGCATTTTTCTTTTCTTTTACATAGTTTCTGTAATGAGAAGCAGCTTTTATTAGTCCCTGTGACAACATCACCAGGCTTGTAAAATTCTTACAGAAGGAACTGATGGGAGCTTAGTTACTATTGATGGAGCCTCACCCCAGAACTATATTTTCCAAGATCCCCTTTCCCTACACATCGTGTGCAGATAGGCTCTCGGAAATCAAGGCAGCAGCATGTGGCGTGGGACAAAGAGTAAAGAGTTCTGTAATCCAGCAAGCAGGGATGACAACAATGCCTAGGTTTTCAGTCCAGCAAAGGCACTGTGTTGTCATCGCAACACAGTTGACCATACACTTGACGTATGTCAAATCAGCAGGTATATTTCTGTAATTCTGTGTTTTTAAAGAGATAAAACATGAGGAAATGTGCATGTATTGCAGAGATGTACTGATTTTTTTTTCCACCCACGCACGCACACTATTCTGTTTAATAGAATATAAAAATGTTACAGTTGCATAACAATTTGCGCAGTGAAAATACACGTACAATCATGTTTTTTGCCCCATCCTTACATGTACATTCATTAGGTAAATTTGTAAAATTTTCTTTCAAATGTACAATAAACTGTAAGTTTTCCTTTTCACATAAAAACTCAGTGGTGAAATAACACCATACACTCTCCCCACAATCTCCGCTGCATTACCTTTGTAGATGATTAGCTTTTGATGCCCACACAGCTGATGCAGGGGTCTGGGGATTAGAAAGCCGCCATCTTCTTCTCAAAGTGATTAACCAATCAGAATGTTGTCCCTAAGGAAAGACTTTCAAATCCTCTGACTCCTGCACCAGCTGAGTGGGCAGCGAAAGATAATCATCCACAGAGGTAGATGTCGCATGGTCTTGAGGGGGGTTAATTTTTTGTGAAAAGGTGAACTTATACTTTAAGTATGAAGTGAAACGAAAAACATGCAAGCACGTTACTCCATCCGAAGGGGAGTGCCTGTGTCCAAAGGAATGTACGATACCAAATTAATCTTAATATAGTTGGAACATTTATTGAAGGTACTAGGACAGCCAATGTGTTTCAGGAATCTGCTTCCCCTTCATCAGGGCTTTGAGGAAAAGTAATATGGAGCTGGAGCAGAAAGCTCCAAGCTACTTTTGTTGACATAGATCCCCAAAACACGTTGGCTTCCCTGAAATGTTCAATAAACATTACATTACAACTATACAAAGATTGCCTTGACAGAGTACATTCCTTTAACCGCTAGCCTACAGGGCACTTATACCCCCTTCCTGCCCAGGCCAATTTCCAGCTTTCAGCGCTGTCACACTTTGAACGACAATTGTGCGGTCATACAACACTGTACTCATATGACATTTCTATCATTTTTTTGGTGACAGATATAGCTTTATTTTGGTGGTATTTAATCACCTCTGGGTTTTTTTATTTGTTCTTAAACAAACCAAAAACCACTGAAAATTTTGGGGAAAAAAAGTTTTTTCTTAGTTTTTGTTATAAAATTTTGTAAATAAGTGATTTTTCTCCTTCACTGATATGCGCTAATGAGGCTGCAGTGGTGAGCACTGATAGGCTGCACTGATGGACAATGATAGGTGGCACTGATGAGGAGGCACTGGTAGGTGGCACTGATGGGCATTGACGGGCATCACTGATGGGCACTGAAAGGCTGCACTGACTGGCACTGTTAGGCGACACTGACACAGCACTGATAGGCGGCACTGATAGACGGCACTGATGGGTGACACTGAAAGGCAGCTCAGATGGGCACTGATATGTGGCATCGATGTGCATTGGTAGGCACTGATATGTGGCACTGATGAGCACCGACACAAGGCACTGATGGACACTGACAGGTGGCACTGCTGGGGCTACACTGATCATCAGTGCCCTGATGATCAGTGTACATGCGTCCTCCGCAGAAAGCCGATTACCGACTCTCCTCTCGAGCTGTCAGCGTGACAGCTCAAAAGGAGAGAAATGCCGATAACCGGCATTTCCCTGTTTACATGTGATCAGCTGTGATTGGACACAGCTGATCACATGACCGAACCGACATCTTCGGCTCTTTCCGTGATCGGTGATCCGCTGTGTCCGAGGGACACAGCGCACTGCCGATCGCCGCGCCGTGCGCTCCCTGAGCCGCGCATGCGCGGCGAGAATGGGAGGACGTCATATGACGTCCTCCGAGAACAAGAGAACCACCTTGAGCCCGTCATTGGACTATATGGCGGGCGGGAGGTGGTTAAATACATGCACTGCCCCAACTGATGAAGTGGAATGCTTGCCTTCTTTTAGTTTCACCTCATATACAGTGGGGCAAAAAAGTATTTAGTCAGCCACCAATTGTGCAAGTTCTCCCACTTAAAAAGATGAGAGAGGCCTGTAATTGGCATCATAGGTAGACCTCAACTATGAGAGACAAAATGAGAAAAAAAATCCAGACAATCACATTGGCTGATTTGGAAAGAATTTATTTGCAAATTATGGTGGAAAATAGTATTTGGTCAATATCAAAAGCTCATCTCAATACTTTGCTATATATCCTTTGATGGCAATGACAGAGGTCAAACAGTTCCTGTAAGTCTTCACAAGATTGGCACACACTGTTGCTGGTATGTTGGCCCATTCCGCCATGCAGATCTCCTCTAGAGCAGTGATGTTTTGGTGGTTCTGGCGCGGGGCAACATGGACTTTCAACTCCCTCCAAAGGTTTTCTATGGGGTTGAGATCTGGAGACTGGCTAGGCCACTCCAGGACCTTGAAATGCTTCTTACGAAGCCACTCCTTCATTGCCCGGGCGGTATGTTTGGGATCATTGTCATGCTGGAAGACCCAGCCACGTTTCATCTTCAATGCCCTTGCTGATGGAAGGAGGTTTGCACTCAAAATCTCACGATACATGGCCCCATTCATTCTGTCCTGTACATGGATCAGTCGTCCTGGTCCCTTTGCAGAGAAACAGCCCCAAAGCATGATGCTGCCACCCCCATGCTTCACAGTAGGTATGGTGTTCTTTGGATGCAACTCAGCATTCTCTCTCCTCCAAACACGACGAGTTGTGTTTCTACCAAACAGTTCTATTTTGGTTTCATCTGACCATATGACATTCTCCCAATCCTCTTCTGGATCATCCAAATGCTCTCTAGCAAACTTCAGACGGGCTCGGACATGTACTGGCTTAAGCAGGGGGACACGTCTGGCACTGCAGGATCTGAGTCCCTGGCGGCGTAGTGTGTTACTGATGGTAGCCTTTGTTACGTTGGTCCCAGCTCTCTGCAGGTCATTCACTAGGTCCCCCCCGTGTGGTCCTGGGATTTTTGCTCACCGTTCTTGTGATCATTTTGACCCCATGGGGTGAGATCTTGCGTGCAGCCCCAGATCGAGGGAGATTATCAGTGGTCTTGTATGTCTTCCATTTTCTAATTATTGCTCCCTCAGTTGATTTGTTCACACCAAGCTGCTTGCCTATTGCAGATTCAGCCTTTCCAGCCTGGTGCAGGTCTACAATTTTGTTTCTGGTGTCCTTCGACAGCTCTTTGGTCTTCACCATAGTGGAGTTTGAAGTGTGACTGTTTGAGGTTGTGGACAGGTGTCTTTTATACTGATAAGTTCAAACAGGTGCCATTGATACAGGTAATTAGTGCAGGACAGAGGAGCCTCTTAAAGAAGAAGGTACAAGTCTGTGAGAGCCAGAAATCTTGCTTGTTTGTAGGTGACCAAATACTTATTTTCCACCATAATTTGCAAATAAATTCTTTCCAAATCAGCCAATGTGATTGTCTGTTTTTTTTTTCTCATTTTGTCTCTCATAGTTGAGGTCTACCTATGATGCCAATTACAGGCCTCTCTCATCTTTTTAAGTGGGAGAACTTGCACAATTGTTGGCGGACTAAATACTTTTTTGCCCCACTGTATTTAAAAGTGGAATGCTGTGATCATGCTATGCTGTCCAGCAAACAATCTACTATTTCTGCTAGATACTTTAGCCAGCGTTCATTTTCCCTATACGTTAACCAGTTGCAGACTCTGGGCATGCTAAAAACTTCGCAAAAAAAAAAGGTCATCACTGCACACAGGGTGTGTAGGAGTTCCGGTCTTTTTGCCATGCTACTGGGACCCCCTTCCAGCAACTCAGCTCTAAAAAAATCAAAGCCGCATTGCTGAGTAAACAGAGAAGGTTCCGACAGCTGGAGCTGTAAAAAAAAGAAATAGGAAAAAAAAAAAAAGTCTAGCAATGTTTATTAACACTGCTCAACCATCAATACAAAAAGATACACAGTAACATTCCTATATTTGTATCTTTCTGTTCATTCATCTACAGATCAAAGGGAGGAACTTTGATTTGCAGATCAAGTCAGTTAAAAAAACCTGACAAATTAAAAAAGTTTTTTTTTGTTCATCCAGCCCAGGTTCACATGTACATCGCATGTGATTCGCACAGGAACCGCACCACATTCCTGTGCAAATCACATACGATTTGTGTGAGGTGCAATTGGAGCTGCACCTTTTTTGGTGCGGGTGCGGTTTGATTAGGCTCTAATCGAACCGCACCGAAAAAGGTGCAGGACCATTTTTTTGGCTCGCACTAGAATCGGATCGCATGGGTATTCACACCTATGTGATCCAATTTTGCACATCGCACTGCGTTTTGCGGACTAATTTTAGGGTGTTGTTAAGTTAACATACACACCCACAGCGGTTCGCATGAACGGGGTGCAGTGGGGAATTCGCACAGAAAATTATGTAAATTCCGGACCGCATCAGTGTGAACCCAGGCTAAATGTTCCCCTTATTAACCCTTAGTTTACTCTAATCAGCCCCAATATTCTCCTTATTCTTCTCCATTCAACGATTATTTTTCTGCTAATTTTTGTTCATTTCTATTTTATTAACTATTAATATTTAAACTTTTTTTTGTTTTTCTTAGTTTGTTAATATTTTTACACCTTTAACACAAATGTACGTTTCGCATTTAGGCCTGGTTCACATCTATTGGAGGAACGTCCAGTTCTTGGTAATGTCACTGTTGCACCATATTTTCTCCACTTGATGATGACTGTCTTCACTGTGTTTCATGATATATCTAATGCCTTGGAAATTCTTCTGTACCCTTCTCCTGACATCTTTTTAACAAGGAGATCCCTCTAATGCTTTGGAAGCTCTCTCTGTGGACCATGGCTTTTGCTGTAGGATGTGACTAAGAAAATGTCAGAAAAGAGCTACTAGAACAGCTGAACTTTATTTGGGGTTAATCAGAGGCACTTTAAATGATGGCAGGTGTATACTGACTCCTATTTAACATGATTTTGAATGTGATTGCTTAACCTCTTCCCGACAGCCCTATAGTAGAAATACTGCTATATATATATATATATATATACGCGATTTTGCATTTCCAGGTAAGAGGTGCGCCGCCATTCGCTGTCAATCACCGGGTCCTGGACAGTGATTTCTCACCGGCGCCTGGTGATTGTCTAGCATCTCCAATGGGGAGAACTGTTTGTAAACAAAACAGCTCTTCTCCATCAGCTCGTGCACACTGCACAGCACAGCCATCCAAAGCAATGTGCTTACAGAGAAGCAAACAGGAACACAGCTTACAGTAAAACAGCACACTGTTAACCCTTTGATTGCCTCTCATGTTAACCCCCTTCTGCCCAGTGCCATTAGTACAGCGTCGGTGCTTTTTTTTTTTTTTTTTTTTTAGCACTGATCACTGTATTTGTCAGTGACATCAAGTCCATTCCCCCCAATGTCAGAATGCCCGCCGCAGTCCCGCTATAAGTCGCTGATCGCCGCCATTACTAGTAAAAATACAAAATAATACAAAAAATCCCAATATATATACCGCCAATTGTAAACACTATAGCTTTCATGCACACCAATTAATTTACATGTATTGAATTTTTTTTTTTTTTTTAGCAAAGACATGTAGAAGAATACATTTTGACCTAAAATTGTGACATTTGATTTTTAAAATTTTTTTACTGGACATGTTGAATAGCAAAAAGTCAAAAATATTGTTTTTTTTTGCTCAAAATTGTCGCTTTTTTTTATAGTGCAAAAAATAAAAACCGCACAGGCCATCAAATACCATCAAAAGAAAGCTCCATTCGTGGTAAAAAAAGGATTTAAATTTCATTTGGGTGCAGCGTTGTATGACCGCGCAATTGTCAGTTTAAGTAACGCAGCGCCATAACGCAAAGAATGGCCTGGTCAGGAAGGAGGCTATCCTCTGGAGGGCAAGTTGTTAATTCTGAACACAGCTACATCCCCAGTTATAAGAGGGTGTACACACTTATGCAACTACATTATTTTACTTTGTTATGTTTACTTCCCCCCATATTAAAGGTGGAAAAAGTTCTGAAATGATTTACCTTTGTCTAATTTTTTTGCATCACAGAAACCTGACATTTTAACAGGGGTGTGTAGAATTTTTATATCCACTGTACATATACCCAGTGAAATTACCAGCCTCAGGTGATACACAGCGATGAAACAAATTCTCCTCCATAAGTTGTACCCGTTTATCTGCAGGTTTTCTCTTCTCTATATCCGTTCAAAGTGCTGAATTTATAAAGCTTGTCTGAGAGTTCAGAAAAAAAAGGAGGCGGAGAGCTGAAATAACACACTGCAGAACTCATGGAGGAGAATTTTAAGAGTTGGAGGGAAGAGACACACCCCCTTCACACAGCTCATAGGAATAGAGCTGGAACTGTCAATCTGCTGGACTTCACTTCCGTCACCATTTTTTCTCTTGGTGTCAGGAAAACCATTTCAGAAGTGATTAATGCTGATAACAGCGGTATATTTACCGCAAGGCAAACATGGTGTTAGCCTAGGGCGGCAATTTTTAGGGGGGCAGCACCCTGGAAGAAGGGACCTGGTGAGCAGCGGCAGACTGACCCATGCAGGGCCACCATCAGAGGGGTACCACCAGTACTCCTGTAGGTGGCCCAGACAGCAGGAGGAACGAGTAGTGGGGGGAGAGCAGTTGCAGAACGATGCACGTTGTATCTCTCCTTCCAGCAGCTGAAAGACGGTGTCTCCCCCTCTCCCTCCCACTGGCTTTCTCTGCTGGAGGGAGAGACAGACCTGGCCGGATCAAGGGGGTGCCCTGGTGTTCCTGTGTGGACGCTC